AAGGTTGAACGATCCCTGCGGTGTCAAAAACCAACGCTGGGGTCGGCACGACACGAACTTGCCGTATGCAGTCTGGGTTTGGGAAGTTCCCTCCGTCTCCAGGGTCAGGGTCAACACAGGGACGTACGCTTCCTCAGAAGTTCGAACTCGCCAGCCAAGCAGCAGCAAGAGGAGTGCCGCGTGCTTGATGCCACGCCCCCCCTTCGCTGTGTTGGCTGGCCGGCGCCGCAGGGCCCGATCCGGGAGGAGCGGCGGGAAGGGTGCGTGCACCCATCGTGGGCCCAGGACCGGCCTCGCCCCCCTCGGCGCATGTGTATATCAAGCAGTGGCGAAGCGTCCTGGCCTGCTCCTCCTCCTCCTCCTCCTCCTCCTCCTCCTCCTCCTCCTCCTCCTACTCCCCCTCCCTCCTCCTCCTCCTGCTCCTCCTCCTCCTCCTCCTCCTCCTCCTCCCTCTCCTCCTCCTCCCCGGGAGCCGCCGCGCCGGCCCAGGCCCCGGGCCTTCAGGCCCACCAGAGCATACACGAACCTGTTGTGGCCTCCGCGAAAAGGTCTTGGAGCATGTCTGGCGGAGAGCATCTTGCTTGGACACCTCGGGCGCATGTTCTCAGAACATTCTGGTCCTGAGTAGAGCATTCTGTACTTCTGAGAACGTGTCGTGGTAGGCCTACAGCAACTACAGCAATGCTGGGACGGTCGGTCCCTGCTCAATAGTTGGCACCTTCCGTTTCCTGTCCATCTGTCATCAAGGGAGGAAAAACACCCTGACTGGACAATTGGCGCTTACTAAACGGACCTGGGCGTTTACTAAACAGCCCTGCCCTGTTTGATTCCTTCTTTGGGTGCGTTTACTAATCGGCTTCGCGCGTCGGGGTGGTTATTGTCGGGGTGGATTTTCTGCCCACTATGCCAGGCACAGGATGAGGACGAACAGCTCCAGGGCGTTCCCTTCTCCACCTGTCGGCCAGACAGCGGCTCGAGAGCGTTCCGGATCGCCCTGTAACGGCCACGGCGCCCGAGACATCCTCCTCCTCCTTCTTTTCCTCTTCCTCCCCCTCCTCCTCCTCCTCCTCCTCCTCCTCCTCCTCCTCCTCCTCCTCTCCGCCTCCTCTTCCTCCTCCCTCCTCCTGCTCCTCCACCTCCCCCTCCTCCCCTCCTCCTCCTTTGCCTCCTCCTTCCTTTTCCTCCTCCTCCTCCTCTCTCCTCCCCTTTTCCTCCTTTTGTCCTCGCTGACTCTCCTCCCTCCTCTTCCTCCTCCTCCTCCTCCTCCTCTCCGCATCCTCTTCCACCTCCTCTTCCGTCCTCCTCCTCCTCCTCCTCCTCCTCCTCCTCCATCCCCCATCCTCCATGCTCGCCGACGCTCAGAGATGCCCGATGTGACCTCGTCCGCACCGATCTTCGTGTGATCGTTTCTTCATTCACTGTTTTGCCGACCGGCGCGGGCCCCGCACACCCCCTCTTCCCCTCCCCCCCCATGGAGTAGATTTATGTCGGGCCTGTCCTCCTACAGGGGGATTTTCGACGAAAGATCAAAAATCCAAACATATTCCAAAAATACTCCAAAAATAATCTGAGGACTATTGTTTGAAACCTTTTTTGGGTATGTTTGGGGTATTTTTAGTTTTTCGTCGCAAATCCCCCTGTAGGGGGACACGCCCGACTTAAGAGTAGATCTTGGCTGTCTTTGGCGCCCGTCTCGAGCCGGCGGGGTCTCCCCCTGCAGAGGGCGCACGGCTCCAGGCAGCCGCACGAAGCAGAGGTCCAGAGCCAGACTCCCCCCCCTTCAAGCAGTGGCGAAGCGTTCCGGCTCACCTATTGCCCCACCAAGCAATGTTCTGAGAACCTTGTGTGGTTCCCACGAAATGTTCTTAGAACATTTCTGGCTGGGACTGTCTTGTTTTAACACATCGGGTCTATGTTCTAAGAACATTGTTTTTGTTTTTAGAACATTTTTAGGCTCTAAGAACATTTCGTGGTATGACTATAGGAATGCCGGGACGATCGGTCCCTGCTCAACCCCTTCTGCCCAAGGTCGGAACGCCGAAGACGTAAAACAAACGCTCACCATCCTGCCTCTGCCTTGGCATTGCTCGGACGCGTGCGTGTTTCCTCGGCGAGAGCCATCGAGGACCATCCTGGACCATCGAGCAACAAAAAACACGCACGAGACCGACAAAACGCACGGGGAATGGACGTCCGAGCGACGGCAAGGTGCTGCAGTCTGGGCAGGCCCCCCTTCTCCCTGGGGGAAGCGGAGCCTGGGCCGGCGCGAGCGCACGGCCGAGAGAGCACCGCCGCCTGCGCGGACGAGCGCCTCGGCGGCTCCACGCCAGAGGCTGTCCAGCGAGTCTGGGGGCTCTTTGCTTTGGCCAGCGCCGGTTGCGCGCTCAATAACGTTAAGTCGGTAGGAGGAGGCAAGAATAGTAGAGAAATAGCCTGGGGACGATTGTTTTGAGTCTTCTTGATTTGTGGGGGGGGCATTTTTGGACTGTGTTTTTATCAGTCGTCCAAAATCCGCCTGTAGGGGGGCACGCCAGACTTAACGTTAGGTGGCGGTGGGGCAGCAAGCAGAAATTGGTTGCACCCCCGAGGCGACAACGGGCGTTGCCAGGGAGGGGGAGGGGCAGGTGACGTCACGATTCGCGCCGGCGCCGTCTGGGAGTGCCAGGGGATCGGGGGTGGCGGGGCCAGAGGAATAGCACAATGGTTCAAAGGGGGGAGGAAGTTCGAGAATTGCAGGAAAGAGGCCTTAAAGGGGACGGACCTCAGCGGTTCCTAACTTGCAACCGCGGTCCGAAAAGGTGATGGAACGGTGCACGTTTCTCTCCGCACGTTTATTTCCCCGAGGTGGGGTAGCTAACTTGCGCTCGGCGTCTGGCATTCTGGTGCCCCGCAGTCCACCAGGCACAAGGACAACAGTCAAGACGCTGAAGCAAGGACCACATTTGGCTCAGGAGGTGCTCTTGCGTCCTGGCCGCTCTTGAGCTTTCTGAGTCGTGGAGCCTGTTCGGGGACCCGTTCGTGGCCGAGGCTCGCCGTGGCCAGACAAGCCCCATTCCTTCCTCATTCAGCAGGGCTGGACCTGAACGGTGTGTTGGCGATGTCGTGGGCCGTTTTCGTTTCGACCTCGCTTCGCGGTCAGGGCGGACTGAAGGCAACCCGGGGGAAAACGAGAGCAAGACGAAAACGAAGAGCACCGTTGAGGTTCAGCCCTGTTGTCCAGCGTTTCTCAAGGAGGCACGACGCCTGCAGCGCGGGACGGCTGGCCCATGGGACGTGCCCACCAAGGCCGATCGGCAGGGCCCTGGCACGGTCCGCCCCTCGCGATTCTGCCCGCGGGGCGGCCCGCGCCTGCTGCTCGCTGCCGGCCGCCCGCCTGCCGCGAGAGACCCCGGGCTCGGAGGAGGAAAATCAGCCACGCGCAGAGGTCGGGAGCGGAAAAGAGGGGGGTGATGACTAGGGGGGGGTGGATATCATGGCGCGGGCCATGATATTTCCCAAGATTCCATGGCGCTTCTTCTTATTTCATTACGTCCCTGGCCCCCCCGCTGGGCCGCGCACATGCCGCCGGTCATGATTTGCACCCCCCCCTCTTGGACACCCCCCTCTTGGCCGCTCCCGAAGAGGGGGGTGGGGGGAGGGGGAGGAGGCAGGGCTTCTTAGAAGCACCCCTGCTTCTTAGAAGGCGCGGCCCTTATCTGTAGATGTGATAAAGGCCGGCGCCTTCTAAGGAGCAGCCTCCTTCTCAGAAGCCCTCCCCCCTCCCCCCACCCCCTTGTGCGCGCCGCCCAGAAATGGTGCCCATACCTCTACCCCCCGCCCGTTTTCCCGTCTTTGGGCCTCCTCTGGGCGGCCCTCGTCGCCACCGCCGGCTTCGCCTCGAGATCCTGGTCAGAACGCACCCCCGGCGAGGTCCGGGGAGCAGCGGTATCGGTACCTCTTGGTGTCCCCAGGGGTCCCTTTGTCCAGCCAGCGCTGAGCCAGCCCTGGCCCGCTGTGCACGGCGCAGGCGTCTCGACCTACCCGCACCGCGGGGGCTGCGCAGCCGCGTCTCGTCAGAGCCCCCCGCGAGGGCCCTCGCGGTCACTCGCCCCTCGCCCTCCAACTAGAGCCCAGTTTTTGTCCGTTGTGCACGGCGCAGGCGCCTCAAAGTACCCCGCACCGTGGGGGCTGCTCCACCGCGCCTTGTCAGACCCCCCCGCGAGGGCCGTGGCAGTCCCTCGCCCCTCGCCCTCCGTCTGGAGCTGGCGGACGTGCGGGTCCCAGCGCGATAGCGTGTTTTCCTGATGCTGCTGTGCTGTCAGCGAGGCTCCTAGAGTAGGAGAAGGAAGATGACGATGACGACGACGACGACAATGGCGACCACGACCACGACCACCACCACCACAACCACGACCGCGACTACCACGGCTATCTGTGGCGACGACGGCGGTAATGGCGACGACGAGAAGCACCATGAATCAATGTCTTGGTCGGTTTGCCTGTGCTGATTTCGGTCGGCCTTGTTGGCGCGCTCATGCACTTGATTTACCAGGGCACGTCCCAGGCGAGTCGACGGTTAAGGGGCTGTCTTCTGGCACATTGGATGCGAGCGGTTCTCATCCCAAGATCGCTGTGGTTCCTCAGCTGTTTCTGCTCAGGGCCTCTCTCTCGTAAAGTCGACGGCGAGCGAGGGGAGGAAGTGAGAAGGGGCGGGTCTTCTCAGAAGGCTCGGGAGTCCCCCGGCCTTCTGAGAAGTGTTTTCTACGTAACAGAAATGTTCTAATGGGCGCGAGGGCTTCGGAGAAGTCCCCCCGCCTCTTGAGAAGGCCCTCTCATCCCCACTTCCCCGCCTCGCTCGCCGCCGACATCCGACACTCCGGATGCGGGCGGTTCTCCTCCCGAGACCGGTGTGCGTCCTCCGCCGGTTCTGCCCAGGGCCTCTCTGTCCAGAGGCCTCTCGGGCGCCGTGCCGCCCCGCGAGCGGCCTCCTCGCCGCGGTCGGGCGAGCGGATGGCACGCAGGGCTTCGTGGTGGCAGCGGCAGCGGGAGGGCCCGCTTCCGGGCTTCGTCGGGGTGCGCAGCGTCCTCGGCCAGGCCTCGGTGGTCCAGGCCTGCCGCGCCTCGGCGCTCTCGGGGCTGTTCTCGGGCGGCGTCCAGCTGCTGGACACGCACGCGGAGGCGGCGCTGCCCCTGGAGGAGGTGCTGCCCGACAACGAGGTGTACAAAACCTTCTGCTTCCTGCTCGCCTTTTTCGTCGTCCTGCACACGTCCCACGCCTACCAGCGACTGATGCACGGCGCCGAGATGTTGCACACCGTCGTCGGGGAGCTCACCGAGCTGACGAATCTGCTTTTTGCCTTCGCAAGGACTGCCAAGTCTGGACCCGGGGAGGTTCAAGAGGGAAAGAACCACACAGACACAATGAATCGTCGGCTCCCAGGAGAATATGGGAAAATATGGGAAGTGTGGGGGAAGACAAAAACCCAGAAAATATGGGAAAATATGGGGAATCTGGTTATTTGTGTGTGTGTGTGTGTTTATTTGTGTGTCCCAGTTCCCCTTCAGAGGTGCGCGACTTTAAGCGCTCGATCGTGCGCCTGGTGAGCCTCCTCTTCGCAGTGAGCGTGGCAGAGGTGGAGGAGGGCGACTCCGAGAAGGGGCTCGGGTTCAAACTGATAGACGTCATGGGCATTGACCAGGATCGGCAGCGCGCAGAGGGGGGTAGGGGGAGGGAGGGGGGAAGGCCTCTTAGAAGCACCCCTGCCTCTTAGAAGGCGCGGGGCCTTCTCCATAGATGTGAGGCCGAGGCCTTCTAAGAAGCAGGGTGCTTCTAGGAAGCCTTCCCCCCTCCCCCTACCCCCTTTTGCGCGCCGCCAACAGGAGGTGATGGACAGGGTGCATTCCTCCGACAATAAGCCAGAGGCAGTATGCCACATTACGTACAGCGCCATCGTCGACGCCATCTCCGCCGACACGCTGACCATACCAGCCCCGCTGCTCACTCGTGTTTTTCAAGAATTTGGCAACGCGATGATCAAGTTCAACGAGGTAAGAACATTCAAGGCTGTACCCTTTCCCGCTCCGTATGTCATGTCTGCCAGGTGCTTGTTGTTCATTCACGCCGTGCTTACTCCTCTATACATGGCGCACTGGACCTGGGGACCCCTTCAGGCAGCAGTTGCCACTCGAGATGCTTACGCCCTTCCGCCGGCTCCCAATGAGGTATGCGCACCCCCCCGATGTCAGCGTCCCGTCGTGTTGCCCTCATGTAGCCGTTGCTGGCTTGCCCCCCTCTTCCTCCGCGTGTTGTGTGGGGCGTTGTGGGGGCCTTTCGGAGGCATCAGTGGCGGCCTCCTGGGATCTTTTCCACTGACCTTGCATGCTTTGGGGGGCCCTCTGAGTCCTTCTTGGTGGTCTCTTGGGGTCATCCTTGGGGCACGTTGCGCGTCGTGGGGCCATATTGTGGAAAAAGGCTCCAAAGGCCCTACCAGCTCCACCTCTTGGGCTTGTCTAGGCCCTCGTAGGACTGTCTTGAAGGCCTTTTTGGCCGTCTTGGCGGCCTCTCGGTCAGTGTGGGGGGCCCTCTGCGGCCACCGTCGGGACCTTTTGGGGGCCGCCTCGGCCGCCTTGGGCCGCTCTTGGGGTGGCCTTGGGCCGTCTCGGCGGAGCTCCGACATGGTGGGATTAATTCGACACACAATAAATAGATGTATAAGGTAAAGATAACAATGTGTCTATGTATATTGCTATATATATATATATGTATGTGTTTTTTGTTGCTTTTGGGGGGGTGTCTTCCAGGCCTCCCTGTCCGTCTAGAGGCCATCTGGCCATCTCGGCTGTTCTGGCGGCCTCTCCGGCGTGTTGGAGCCTCTCTCGAGCCATTCCAGCGGGCGTTTCGGGGGGCAGCGGTGTTTCGATGCGCCAGGGAGCTCGTGCACCATTCCTCCACGACCCCCCCCCATGCATCAGGACGACTGACATGGGTAAGGAAAGAATGGGTACGATGCCAGACAGCAGCTCCTGTCCATTTTGGACAGGGCTCGCTGTCCGCGCCGCTGCGGCCTCTCCCCATTTGAAACAGAAGGCCGCCCGCCCAACAGCGGCTGCTGATGGTTTGGGGCAACATTTGTTGTTGGGCGCTGCACCCATTTTTCCCGTACCCATTTCGGGCGTCCAAAATGCAGACCCGGCAGGGGAAGGGCAAGGGGGACACAGGACAGCCAAACATCCCACCCCGCATTGGTCATCCCCAGCAAAGGGGGAGCCGACCGACTTTCATACTGGTCTTCACGTTCCTCATTCTGCACCTGGTTGCCCGCGAGTTAGATAATCCTTTTGGCGTGGATTGCAACGATATCAGGATCGAGCAGCTGCAAGAGGACCTCAACAGTCGGTTGCTGTCCATCCTGGTCGCGTCCGAAGGCTCGACGAAGAAAGCACTGCGTAAACACAAACCTTCGGATGCCCGCACAGATTTCTGGGATCGGCGCTGGCACCGAGGAGCGCGCAAGGGGGCGGCGCTGGAGGCGTCGCCAGGGTGACCCAGCGCGAATCCAAGACATCCGCGCGGAGTTCCGCACAGTTGCCCTGGTACGCCCGTGCTGAGACGCAGCGGCCGAGTCCAGCACGCTGCGCGCTGGCGCACCACGTGCTGGCCCCCGGTCTGGCGAGCGCACCGCGCCGGGCTTGTGTTTTTAAGTGCACGTGCTGGGGCTCCGCGTCAACGCGCTGCGGGCTCCATGTTGCGTCAGGGTTGGACCTAACGGTGTTTCTGGTGATTCCGTGGGCCGTTTTCGTTTCGACTTCGGTTTGCGGTAAAGGCGGGTTCGAGACGAAAGCGAAGGAAATCGAAAGCAAAACGAATACGACAAACACCGTTCAGGTTCAGCCCTGTGGTGCGTATCAGGGCAGCTAATCAGGCGATCGCAAACATGGATCCTGGGGGCTTGGATTAGCAACGGGTCCCGCTTCCATGGGCAATCGCGGATTCCCGCCGCCGAACGAGGCGGCACCGACCGCATTTTGGGGAGGGCACCTCCCCCGATCCATGGATTTGGCGACCGCGCACCAAATCCACGGGTCGCTAATCCATGTTTGCGCGTCCGCGAGCTAAGTCCAACCGTTCATCCGCGGACAATGTGACAATGTATGCACCGTGCCGCGCCGGCGTCTCCCGAAACGATATCGGTCGTCGACCCAGGAACGTCTCAGGAGGGAAAAAACACAGACACAATCAATCGCAGATTCCTAGGAGCATATGCGAACATATGGGAAGTGTGGGGAAGACAAAAAACCAGGAAAACATTTGAAACTATGGGGAATCCTGTTATTTGTGTGAATATTTATTTGTGTGTCCCAGGGCCCCTGCAACGATGTATGCACCGTCCCGCGCTGGCGTCCCCCGAAGCGATGCCGATCTTCGACCCAGGAATGGCACGGTGCAGAGATCACCGGCTCTCAGACCCCCAAAACTGTGCACCGTACTGCGCTGGAGCGAGGGCCGAAGGGAGTTCAAACATGTATGGTCCGGCGCAGAAGAGCCACTGTCAGAGCCCCGAATCATCAGGGGTAATTCGGGTCAGGGCTAACTCGGGTTCGTTTTTCGGGAATCCAAGCCCGAGTTACCCCGGACCCGAGTTACCCCGGACAACTCGGGCGTCCAGAGCCCCGAAGCATCAGGGGTAACTCGGGTCAGGGCTAACTCGGGTTCCTTTTTCGGGAATCCAAACCCGACTTACCCCGGACCCGAGTTACCCCGGATAACTCGGGCGCCCAACACTGTCGCAGTCGGCGCCAGTGTGCTGCTCCTCCAGAGGCAGGGCGGAGCGGGACGAAGGCGGGCTGAGCAGCACGGGCTTCGCGGACATGTACCGCGTGCGCGCCTCCGAGGAGTGCAGATCCTACGCGCAGCTGGCGGTGCTCCACATGGCGGGCCGGGGCCTCCCGGAGCGCTGCGAGGAGGAGCGAGCGAGCGCCAACAAGCGGGGGTGAGAAGAGCGCGAGGGGGTCGAGGAGGAGCTGCGGGAACGTGGCCTCACAGAGGGGCCCCGCACGGCGCCTGTCCACGGCCGCCGCGGACCGGAGATTGGCACGGCGAGGCGCACGCTTCGGCACCCCACGTCTGCTATCCCCCCCTGGCAAACGGACGCCCGAGCAGGGACACGCGTCGAGAGGTGCGAAGTGCTCGGTATCTGGCGCCCTGCCGCGACCTGGCGAAGCTCGCCAGGAAGGGCTCATGCCTCCCCTATATGTGCTGCCCCCCGCTAAGCAGATTGCAAGTCCTGGGAGGTATAAAACTCTGAATCGGGGCTGGTAACAATCTTTGGTGGAAGTCCCGCCTAATCCAGTTTGGTTCACTTTCATCCAGCTCATCCTTGCCCAACCTGGTGGAATCAAGAGCTCAATCCAGCCCACTCTGGCTCTGTGGTCCCTTGGTCGAGCTCAGTAGGAAGACCTCCCAGGAGTTGCAACCAAAGAACTAGGTCCAAGATGGGGTCGGAGTAGATGGGGTTGCAGGATCGCGCCGCATCGCCGATGCGTAGCCGATGCGGCTCGATGTGGAGCCCAACTTTCCCGATGCCGACGTCGCCGATGCATCGCCGACGTCGCCGAGGCATCGGTTGTGCGGCGATGCACTGCAGATGCATCGGCGATGCGGCGAGATCCTCCGACCCACCCCATCTGCTCGGACCCCTCTAGGAGGCCTCCAAAAGAGTATCCTTACGTCGGGCCTGTCCCTCTACAGCGGGAATTTCCAAAAATAGTCCAAGAATAGTCCGAGGACTATTTTTGGAGTATGTTGTTGACCATTCTGGGATCTTGTTCGATCATTTCTTGTTTGTCGTCGAAGATCTCCCTGTAGGGGGACACGCCCGACCTGAGCGCATCCCACGGGAGGACACCCCCGCGGTGCCGCCCGAGGAGCGCGGCCCCGAGGCGCCGCCGCTGGCCGCGCCTGCCCGGCTGCGG